AAATTTGAAAAAAAAAAAAAAAAAAAAACCTTTTTTCATCTTTTTCCCTTCTTTTTCAAATTGTTTATTTTGAACTGTTGAGAAAATGAAGGTGAGAGAGAGAGACTTAAGGAGGGTTTATTAGTTTTAGAAAAGTAAAATAACCTTCTTTCTGCCTAAGAAAAGAACTTTAAAAAGTTTGAATAGTAATGCTTTGAATAAATCTCCCTCTCTGCATTTCTTCCTTCAACATTTATCGTACTCTGTGCCCCCAATCCCCATTATCCTCTCTCTATCATATATACAGCTCATAACGCTACGGAGAGAGGGTTTAATATATATTGGTTAAAGCATAAAAAATGGGGGCATACAGAGCAGACGACGATTATGATTACTTGTTCAAGGTAGTTCTAATCGGTGATTCCGGTGTTGGAAAATCGAACCTACTGTCCAGATTCAGTCGCAATGAGTTCAGCCTGGAGTCAAAGTCCACCATCGGCGTTGAGTTCGCCACTCGTAGCATCCGCGTCGAGGATAAGGTCGTTAAGGCTCAGATTTGGGACACCGCCGGCCAGGAACGGTATCTTCCTTTTTTTCCTACTCACTTCCTATTATTTCATTTCAATTTGTAGAGATATAAGTTATAGTAGTAGCCGAATTGTTTGGAACTTTGAGATCTGATATACATTTGAGCGTATTTACGTTACGGAATGTCATTTTTGTGTCAAATTAGATCTGATACGTCTCTTATGTATATTGAGAGTGCAAAGTGTAGGAGCGGTTGTAATCCGCTTTTAAGTTAAGGATGGAGGCTAGATCCAGTATTAGGCATACTTATATGTAAATTATTTTGTCTGTATTTTGCGCAGAAAGCAGTAGGTGTTGACGCACCTGCTGCACTATACTGTGGCAGCTCCTGGTCATCACTGTGGTTAAGTTTGTGGATCTCAAATGCCATATTCAAATATGAGAAATACTTTTCTTATTTGCATAAGGAAAAAGCAAATGTTTCAACAATTTCTGGTAATATAAGTTTGATTGAAGGCTCCAGAAGAGCCACTATATGTCTGTCTAAGGGAACAAAACTTATAATAGACAATGTATTATTCTCCTCCAAGTCCCGAAGAAACTTATTGAGTTTTATAGATATCCGCCGAAATGGATATCATGTTGAGACGATAGATGAAATGAATATGGAATATCTTTGTATTACAAAGAATATTTCTGGCCATAAGTGCATTGTAGAAAAGTTACCAACTTTATCTTCTGGCTTATACTATTCAAAGATTAGTACAGTTAAAGCACACTCTATCGTAAACCAGAAGTTTACTGATTCAAATATTTTTGTGCTTTGGCATGTCCATTTGGGCCATCCTGGATCAATAATGATGACATGAATTACTGAAAATTCGAGTGAGTATCCATTAAAGAACCTAAAGATTCTTACAAATAATGAATTTTCTTGTGATGTTTGTTATCAAGGCAAAATGATCACTAGACCATCACCAATGAAGGTCGGCATTGAATCCCCTGCCTTTTTAGAGCGTATACATGGGGATATATGTGGACCTATTCACCCACCAAGTGGGTTGTTTAGATATTTTATGGTCCTAATAGATGCATCTTCAAGATGGTCTCATGTATGCCTACTATCATCTCACAACCTGGCGTTTGCAAAGCTATTAGCCCAAATAATTCGATTAAGAGCACAATTCCTAGATTATCCTATAAAGGCTATTCGCCTTGATAATGTTGGAGAATTCTCATCTCAAACTTTTGATGATTATTGTCTATCAGTTGGGATAAATGTTGAACATCATGTATTTTATGTTCATACTCAAAATGGCCTTGCAGAGCCATTTATTAAACGCCTGCAATTGATAGCAAGACAACTACTTATGAAAATAAAATTGTCTACTGCCATGCTATCTTGCATGCAGCATCACTTATTCATCTCAGACCGATACATTATAATAAATATTCTCCGTTACAATTAGTTTTTGGTCATGAACCAGATATTGCCCATCTACGAATTTTTGAATGTGCTGTATATGTGCCAGTAGCACTACCACATCGCAGTAAGATGGGCCCACATAGAAGGTTAGAAATATATGTTGGATTAGAATCACCCTCTATTATTCGCTATCTTGAACCATTGACGGGAGATTTATTTACTGCTCGATTTACAGATTTTCGGTTTGATGAAATAAATTTTCCACAATTAGGGGGAGAGAAAGGAAATCAAAAGAGAAATTATGTGAAATTTTTTATCATTATCTCATTTTGACCCACGTACCCTTATATGCAATAAGGAGGTCCAAAAGATCATCCATTTACAAAATATAGCAAATCAAATGCCAGATGCGTTTACTAATTTGAAAAGGACAACTAAGTCACATATCCCTGCAGAGAATGTGCCTATCCGAATTGATATCCCAACAGGACCATCCGCTAGTATGAGAGCTAGTGAACCTAAAGCACGCCTGAAGCATGGTAGACCTTTGGGTTCTAAGGATCGAAATCCTCGAAAAAGAAAATCGATAAATGATCAAAACGATATTATGAAGGGATCCCCTGAAGAGACCCAAGATCTGATTAGTTCTGAGATTCCTGAATAAATCAATGAACCTGAGACTCAAGTGAGTGAGAAGCTTTTAATAAGTTCTATTGGCGAAGGGATTAATTTAAATCGATCTGAAATAGTGGTGGATAATTTTTTTGCATATAATGTTGAACTTAACATTATGCAAGATAGTGAGGATCTTGAACCCCGATCTATCGAAGAATGTCGACAAAGATCTGATTGGCCAAAATGGCAAGAGGCAATTCAATCAGAATTGAACGCACTTGCTAAAAGAAAGGTCTTTGGACCAGTAGTCCAAACACCTGCCGGTGTAAAATCAGTTAGTCATAAATGGATTTTTGTGCGAAAAAGGAATGATAAAAATGAAATTGAAAGATTCAAAGCTTGCCTTGTTGCACAAGAATTCTCACAACGACCTGGAGTCGATTTTGATGAAACATATTCATCTGTTATGGATGCCATAACATTTCGATATCTCATCAGTTTAGTACTACATGAAAAGCTTGAAATACATCTAATGGATGTAGTTATAACTTATCTGTACTTGATAATGAATTTTATATGAAAATCCCCGAAGGACTTAAAATGCCTGAAGCAAATCCAAAATCTCGGAAAATGTATTCAATCAGATTACAAAGATCTTTGTATGGTTTAAAGCAATTTGGACGTATGTGGTATAATCGCCTTACTGAATATTTACTGAAAGAAGGTTACATAAATGATGTTATTTTTCCATATATTTTTATAAAGAAAATGGCATCAGAATTTGTTATACTTGCTGTTTATGTTGATGACATAAATCTTGTTGGAACTCCACAAGAGCTCCAAAAGGCAATTGAATATCTTAAGAAAGAATTTGAGATGAAACATCTTGGAAAGACAAAACTTTGTGTTGGTTTGCAAATTGAACATTTAACAGACGTGATCTTTATCCATCTATCTGCCTATACAGAAAGGGTCTTAAAACGCTTTTACATGGACAAATCACACCCATTGAGTACACCAATGGTTGTTCGATAACTTAAAGTGAATAAGGATTTGTTCCGACCTCTCGAAGAGGATGAGGAACTCCTTAGTCCCGAAATATCTTATCTTAGTGCAATTGGTGCACTTATGTATATTGCTAATGCTACAAGGTCTGACATAACATTTTCTGTTAATTTACTAGCAAGATATAGCTCTTCTCCTACACGGAGACATTGGAACGGGATTAAGCATATATTGCGATATTTAAAGGGAATACTTGATATGTATTTATTTTATTCTAACAAAGGTAGTGCAGATCTTGTTGGTTATGCAGATGTAGGTTATTTATCTGATCCACATAAAGCTCGATCTCAAACCAGGTACGTGTTTACATATGGAGGTACTGTCATATCATTGCGCTCCACAAAGCAATCTATTGTTGCTACTTCTTCAAATTTTGCTGAGATAATAGCTATTCATGAAGCAAGTAGGGAATGCGTATGGTTGAGATTAGTGATTTATTTTATTCAAGAAAAATGTGGTTTGGAATGTGATAAAAGATTCACAAATTTATACGAAGACAATGCTGCATGCATAGCCCAATTAAAGAGGGGATTTATAAAAGGAGATAGAATGAAGTACATTTCACCAAAAATATTCTACACACATGATCTTTAGAAAAATGATGACATTGATGTGTAACAAATCCGTTCAAGTGATAATCCGACATATTTATTCACTAAATCTTTGCCAACTTTAACTTTTGAGAAGATGGTATACAAGATTGGAATGCGGAGACTCAAATATTTAAAACAGTGTTTTTATCAGGGAGAGTAAAATACGCGTTATACTCTTTTTCCCTTACTAAGGTTTTTCCCACAGGGGTTTCCTTATAAGGTTTTTAATGAGATAAAAAGTTATGCGTATTACTAAATATGTGTACTCTTTTTCCTTCACTAGAATTTTTTCCCACGGGGTTTTTCATAGTAAGGTTGTAATGAGGCACATTATCTTTTAATGAACATTCAAGGGGGAGTGTTATAAATATATTATATTATGGATGTTTATTTAGTACTCCGTTGTAAATAAGCTTCCTGAAGAAGCTTATCTATATGAGATTCCGCCGTAAATATGTTTATCTATTTAGTACTCTATTGGAAATAAGTCTCCTGAAGAAACTTATCCTTTCGGTACCCCGTTATGGATAAACATCACTCGGTAGAAGATTATCTATATCTGGTACGATGAGCTTATCCTTTCAGTACCCCGTTATGGATAAACATCACCCCGGTAGAAGATTATCTATATCTGGTACAATGAGCTTATCCTTTCAGTACCCCATTATGGATAAACATCATACCCGATAGAAGATTATGTATATCTGGTACAATGAGCTTATCCTTTTGGTACCCTGTTATGGATAAACATTACCCCCGGTAAAAGATTATCTATATCTGGTACAATGAGCTTATCTTTTTGGTATTCCGTTATGGATAAATATTACCTCGATAGAAGATTATCTATATCTGGTACAGTAGGAGCTTATACAGCAACTTGCACAACAACTTGATTTCTTCTATAAATAGAGGAGATTTCAGTTCATTATGTACATAAGTTTAAAGTTGAATAATATATCAATTTCTCTCTATACTTGTCTTTACTTTACGACCTTTATTTTATAACAATTTTAGATTTTTACACCATCCTCCCGCAGTCCCTCTCTGAGTCGCAAATAGTATAAGAACTGTATCAGTATAAAATACTGTATCATTAATCGCAGAGACGGATCCAAGATTTAAATTCTATGGGTTCAACTTTTAAGAGTTTTAATATTGAACCCATTATATTATAAAAGTTATGGGTTCGTATCTACTATTTTTTTAATTTTAATAAATTTTTATATATAAATTTTATTTCACGTCGAAAGTTATGAATTCAATTGAACCCAATAATAACACTGCATCCACCACTGATTAATCGAACAGTTGATTAGCATATTGTATATAGTTTATGCACTGAAAAGTATATTAGCAATATCTAGACAGAAAATTGCGTTCTAAAATTAAGCAAATTGTTTTACTAAATGAAGATATAAAAACTATGATAATGTTGTGTGTAATTCATAGTAATAAAATTGACTTTGACTTTAATTTTCTTTAAAACTAGGATTTTGCTTGCACGCAAATGATTGAAGTCCACTTGGATCTTGTTGTCACACAAACTGACAGATATCATTGCTTTTATGTAGACCTTTTTAGTGTTTTAAAGAATCCAAAATTAATGAAATTAAAGTATGTAAATTCTCTTCTTCTTCTTCTTCTTTTTTTTTTTAAAAGGTAGGCCGCTATTTGGGTTAATTTTTTTTATTTTTTGTCAGAAATTTTTTCATTTCTTTTTAATTGAATGTTAACTTAGAAATGGGAGTTGCAAATTTAATTGTATACTATAAAGATTTTTTTATTAAACCGAATGTTTATCCAACAATATGTTTAACTGTTTAGTTTTTTACCTCAGCTTTCTCGGACTGAAATAACTTTCTTCCTGTAATGAGTGATGAATAGGACAAGAGCACCAACATCACAAACTGTTCCAAAAAATTTTTATCTCGTTGAAGTTGTTTCTATATATTGTAGAAGATTATCTCAGCCACAGCGTCTGGCACTGCTTGTCAAAACGAAATTTTTGAGATTCATTACAAAGAAAAAGAGCAGACTCACTTTCAATAAGATTACTTGGTACGTAACGGAATTAAGTGGGAAAACAAGCAAAAAGTAAAAGACTAGAGAACGAGTCTTCGTATAGTGAATTAGTGATCGTCAAATCAATTTGTCTTTAATTGTAAGGATTCAATTTCTGAGTAACTTGGTGTTTTATATTAGTGAAATCATTGAGTTATCAAAAGAACATACAGACTAAAGAAGCGATTGACTCAATGTATCCTGAACCTCTTAGAACCGAGCTTGATTATATTCACCTACTAGGTGTAAATTAGACAACAAAAATGGGTAGGGGCATGGCCAACCGGCAAAAAGCACTTAGAAAGAGAAGAAACCCTGAAAATAGAAACAAATTCATATCCACTGTAATACAGACAGTCTGAAAGTGCAATATGGTGATCGTGGTAGCAAACCATCAGAATACACCAATTTATGGTATTTGCACAATATAGCGTGTAAAGAAAAACATACAGTACACTAAATTCCATTTAAACCTTCTCTCTTTCTCAGAGAGTAGGTAGTGGAAAGCAAAAGAAAATTACAAGGCAAGAAATGAAAGAAACAATTCGATCGAGCTTTGATCCTTGAGAGTCTTCTTTTAACACCAGCAAGACATTATTTGGTTACTGGAGTTACTGCAGACTAAAGGAGCAACCTGGTCATAATCCAACTTCCATGACTTCAATAACCACTGCATTCCTGAAAGTAAGTAACATCCATCCGCTGCTGATCTTGCAAGCATATTTTTGCCTCTGAAAAGACCTTCCCACCCTCATCGGCAAAGTGGAGCCCAAAGCTCCATCAAGATCTGTATACCAAAATCAAAATATGGATCAGAAAAACAGCCCTCTCACTATTATATTATCTTCCATCTGTTTCTAACAGTCCAGGGGAAGTGGTGAAACTGACACAGTTATCATTGACTCCCATCATTATACAACACACTTAATGTTTGACAACCTCTAACTTACACATGCAAAATCAACTGCAGATGACAACTTAAGTGGCAAGATTGCGGTCCCTAAGCATTTGGTTCAACTCTCCCTATGGGAGGACAACAAAATGTATTTGTTCTTCCCTCAATATCATATGACAAATGATCATATTACAAAATGCTGAAAGGTTGCAGGTGATATTACTAGCAATTGCAGGATGCAAATGGCAGAATAAAATACTGTACTTCTAGTGGTGATGCTTATGAACTAACTGCATCAAATTGGAGTTTCCTAAGAGAGACGCTTCTAGCAATTGCATAATGCAAACAGAAGAATAGAACACCATATTCTTTCGTGCTGACACACAAGAGCT